TTGCTGTCATGTCTACTGCTCCAGTCCGGCGCCATGTATCTCACGTGCAGATCGTGCGGCGTGGTTGGTGCATGGCCATGGCCAGATGTGCATGTGCACTTATCATAATTCATGATTAGCACAACTTGAAGCGCGTTTGAAGGGCAGTCATTAATCTCGTGAGTTATAATTATGCGCATCTACGGTCTTGTCATAGTTGAGCGATATCTCAACGTATCTATAGGCAGATTCCTCATCCAGATGTTTGCAAGGAACTCGGCCTCTTCAAACAAAAAACGTTCGGGAACTTGCATCTGCCGCTGTCGAAGCCACTGTACGGTATACAATGTGGTTACGGGCCTTTACCAGTACTTTACCATCCCCCACATAATCCATATGGACTCCACTGGATTCCACTAGATTCCACTGGATTCCACTGGATTCCACTGGACTTCACTATATATTGAGACTTCACTACAGACTGGTACAAAACTGGACTCCACTGGACTGCCAGCTACTCTTAACACAAACCTGGACTCCACTGGACTCCACTGAACTGCCAGCTACTTTCAACACAAACCTGGACTCCACTGGACTCCACTGGACTGCTAGCTACTTTCAACACAAACCTGGACTCCACTGGACTCCACTGGACTGCCAGCTACTCTTAACACAAACCTGGACTCCACTGGACTGCCAGCTACTTTCAACACAAACCTGGACTCCACTGGACTGCTAGCTACTCTTAACACAAACCTGGACTCCACTGGACTCCACTGGACTGCTAGCTACTTTCAACACAAACCTGGACTCCACTGGACTCCACTGGACTGCCAGCTACTCTTAACACAAACCTGGACTCCACTGGACTCCACTGGACTGCCAGCTACTTTCAACACAAACCTGGACTCCACTGGACTGCTAGCTACTTTCAACACAAACCTGGACTCCACTGGACTGCCAGCTACTTTCAACACAAACCTGGACTCCACTGGACTGCCAGCTACTTTCAACTCAAACCTGGACTCCACTGGACTGCCAGCTACTCTTAATACAAACCT